AAAATATAAAAGAATATACATAAATGTATTTTATATATATTTTTTTTATTTTTTCAAAAATTTTTATTTTACACAGATTTTTTTTTTTTTTTTTTTTTATACATCAATGAATGAATGTATGAATTTTTCGATGATGAAAAATAAAATGGGTTTTATTGAGTCACGTTTTCCTTTCTAAAATTTTTTGTCTCAATGGTAATTCCATATCGTCTTGAAAACGTGAACCTTGAATTTGATTTATCCATTTTATTGAGGGTCCTTTTGATCTTCCTCCTATAAAAAAAAATTAATAATAGTTAATTTTTATTTTAATAAAATTACGCTACGTTTAAAATATGTATATGCGCATCGGTCATTTTATATTAAAACGATTTATCACCTCATTGATAACAACATTTTTGTATGACGTCACAAGTGTTACGAATAATAATTATGAAAAATTCCGCTAGATGCGCTAGTTGTACAAAAAAAAATGACGGAAAAAAATTTGAATTTGTTGGGGGGGGGGGGGGAAACGTACCTTTCATAGAACCTGTTTTAGATTTTGCCATCATGTCCGATTGACTGCTGACTCGACCAACTTTTCGATTGTTCGGTGATTTATATTTCGAACGAAAACAACAACAAATTACTCTTTGAAAATAAACTCGAAACCTGCAAAAAAAAAAAAAAAAAAAAAACGTTAAAAAATCGATAAACGGAAAATGGATAAAAAACAAACCAATTGACCGGAAATGAAAAAAAAAATTCCCCCTCCCCCTCCCCCCTTCTCTCTCTGTCTGACCGTTACATACACACACACATTATGAATTTTTTTTTTATTATTTCTTTATGATTTTTTTTTTATTGCAAAAAAAATAATAATAATAAAAATTTACATGTTAAAATTGATTCCGATTATTATTACTTTTTTTTTTTTCATCGATATCAATTCCGGTTTCGATATTTTTCCTTCCTACCTCCCTTTCTCCCTTTTTCCCAATCTCCCTTTCTATTTCCTCAATTTCCCTCCCTCCCCCCGACACAATATCGAATCAATCCAACTGTTAAAAAGTAAAAATTTCACTAAAAAACAAAAAATAGTAATAATAATCACATTTCATCATCCTCTGACCACCATTTTGGTTACAAAGAAAAATCCTAGCGGTCATTTGTCGAACTACACTTGCAACCAAACAAAAAAAACAAAATGGCGACGTTTCCGCTTCCATGATCCGCTAATAATAATACATGTTTAAAAAATAATCGCCTCTTATTATTATTTATTTGTTTCTTTTGTTTTTGTTTTTTTTTTTCAATATTAGAAATTTAATTATTATAAATAAATAATAATGATAATAATAATAATAATTTCCCAAAGTATTTATTATTATTATTATTATTATTATATGAAAATAATTAAAATAAAGGATTTTAACTTTTCCTTTTTTTTTTTTTTTTTTGATTAAATTTGGGGGGGGGGGAAAGAAAAAAAATTAAATTTTTTTAATTTTAATTTAAATCATCGAAAAAAGGCGGATTTCATTTGACAGATGAAAAGGCGGAATTTTTTTTTTTGTGAGAGATTGTAGGTAATGCGTAAATGAATTAAATAAAAAAAAAAAAATGAAACGGAATGAAGAAAAGAAAGATGGAAGGAAGTAAAATACATAGAAAGGAAAAGAAGAAGAAAAAAAAGGAAATGAGTAAAAGAAAATTGAAATGTAGAAAGAAAGAAAGAAAGAGAGTCTGTTAAGGAAAGGATGTGAAAAAGAAAAAAAAAAAATTTAAAGAATGAGACAGAAGTTATAGGAATGAAAAGAGAAAGAGAGAGAGAGAGAGGGAAAAAAACAAAAATAAAAAGGTAGAAGTAAAGAGAGAGAGAGAGAGGGAGAAGGAAAGAAACTAAAAGTAGAACGAACAAAAGGCAGAAATAAAAGAAGAGAAAGAAAGAAAGAAAGGATCTAAATGTAAAAGAGGCAGAATTAAAAGGAGACAGTGAGAGAAAGAGAGAGAAAGAAACACACACACCAATAGACAAGTAGACCAAAAACTAGGAAAAAAAAACAGAAAGAAAGGAAGAAACAGAAAGTAAGAAGCAGAAAATAGAGAGAAAGAGATAAAGAGGAGTGAGAGAGAGAGAAAGAGAGGCAAAGGAACTAAAAGTAAATATGGGCAGAAGTAAAAGAAGAGAGTAATGGGGAGAGAAAGGTAGAGAAACACTAATAGAACCAAAAATTAGGAATAAAAAGCAGAAGACAAGGTAGAAAAAGAAGTAAGAAGAAGAAAAGAGATAGAAAGATGGAGAATTGGAGAGAGGAGGGAAAGAGAAAGAAAGAAAGAGAAAAGCAAGATTAAAAAAAAAAAAAAAGCTGAAATGTGATTTTTCCCGCAATGAAAATTAATAAAATTTAAACTTTTTTTGTTTCGCTGTCGGAAGAACAAAAAAAAAAATACAAGTAATAATAATAATAATAATAATAATAACAATGATAATAATAATGATAATAATAATAATAATAATAATAATAATAATAACAATGATAATAATAATGATAATAATAATAATAATAATAATAATATTCTCACAGGTAAAAAACCAGGCAAAAAAAGAAAAATGCAAATTTATAACTGCGTCTTTTCTCTCTCTCTTTCTCTCTCCCCCCCCCCCCCGCTTTTCTTTCTTTCTTTTAGCCCAAGTTAAAAATTAATGGTGTCAATTATGGGATCAAATGTTATTAAATTGTTTTTCCTTTTTTCCTTTTTTTTAAATTTCCCTCTTCAAAAAAAATTTTGATTCTCGCAACATTTTCAAAATTTCCCCCCTTCCCCCTCTTCCCCCCGTTTCGCACCCTTTCGCCCTCTCCTTCCACCCACCGTTCGACAACCCGGAAGTTATTAATTTTTAAACATTTTTCATTTTTTTTTTTTCGAATAAACATCACTTACCGGAAATAACTTTCTATTATTATTATTATTATTATTAATAATTTTACACGCGTAAATAAAAAAAAAAAAATGGCGTTTTGTGTTCACTTTCGACTTTTAATAATAATAATAATAATTTTTTATTTTTTTAAAAATTAATTTAAAAAAAAACAACAAAATGGCGGCGACGTTGCGTGGTGCGCGAAACAAAAGAATAAACGTTTTTTTTTTTTTTTTTTTTTTACAACGTCCATAAATTTTTCCTTTTCTTATTATTATTATTATTAGAGTTTTTGATATCAGGAAATTAAAAATTTTCATTCGTTTCGATGATGATAATAATAATAACGCGTTCAAAAAAAAAAAGATTTTGTAGTCGTAGCGAAATAACGTTCAATAAGAACGTTCCGACTATTATTTATAATAAATAAAAGGAAAATAAAAACTTACTTAGCGTTCATCCAGTAATAAATAATTGGATTAACCATGGCGTTCGACATTGCCAACCAATAAAACGATAGGAAAACGTGTTGAACGTACCAACTTCCGACAACGGAATTATTATGATATGCGTATATAAAATATCCGTGATAGGGTAGCCAACAGAAAATGAATATCGTCACGACGATAATAAACATTCTAACGACCTGTAATCAAATAAATAAAACTCGTTTATTTACTCTATGACTCGAAAAAATCCATTAATTTTTTATTTAATCTATGATATGAAAATTCGTTTCATCATCTTATTTTTTTTAAATATTCTTCGACATGATTGTTATGGAAGAAGAAGGGAAATTTTTTAAACTGGCGACAAAAATCCCTTCTCACCTTTTTTTTTTTTTACCCTTTAATTAACACCGATAACGGTTTTTTTTTTCTTGCGTTGTTTTCCCTTGTGTAGTCGTTTTTTTTTTAAGAAAAAAAATATTATTGAATTAAATTTTTTTTTTTTTTTAATAAAAATAATAAAAAAAGAAGAAGAAGAAAGATAAAAAAAAAAAGAGAAAAATGGCGAAACGTTTATAAATTATTAAAAAAAAAAAAAAATAACCCAATCATTATTCAACTCGCGAACTCGAAAGATTTTTTTTTTTTTTTTTTTTTTTTTTACTTTCCTAACCCGAAAAGTTTTTTTTATTTTTTTATCGGTCTTCTTACGTTTTTTGCGAGTGAAAATAAACGGGGAGGGGGCGATGAGGGGGGGGTAAGGGAAAGGAAAGAGAGAGAGAGAGAGAAAAACTTTATATCATTGTTAATATCATTATCTAATTCACACACAGAACCTGCTCACACACACAAAAAAAAAATTTTTCTAGCGTGTTTAACCCATTCACACAAACAAGCACACACGCGCACGTGCACACACACGCACCCACGCACGCACAGGAGCAACAAAAGCTTTAAATTGTCATTAATAAAAATTTTTTAACATTTGTGTCCTTACCACGCAAAAAAAAAAAATTATTTTGAAGTTTTCTCTCGCTGCAAAAAAAAATTTTTTTTCCCTTATCATCATCATCATCCTCATCATCATCTCTCCTGTTTTCCCCCTCTCTCCTTTCTCCCCACCCACCCATTCCCCCTCTCTCCAAAAAAAAAAAATCTAAAACCACGAAAACAAAAATAAACAGGATAAAAATTAAATTTCAAAATTACAATTACACGAAAAAAAAGAAAAAAAAATAATAATTTTAACAAGTTGGCAATTCTGATTTTTTTGTGTAACGGTTTTCCTTGTATTCCCTCGGGAGCAAAAAACAAAACAAAAAAACAATAATAATATTTTCGTGAATTAATTTTTATATAAATTTTAAACAAAACTCGAAAGAACCGTCAACCGTCATTCATTTTATTTTTTGTTTGTTCGTTTGTTTGTTTTCATAAATAAAAAATTTTCAATTTATAGTAAAAAAAATTAAAAAATCAAGTCCGCCATTTTGAATATTTCTCTTTCTCTCTCTCTCTCTCTCTCACTACTTAAACTTAACAAATCATCATAAAAAAAAAAAAAAATTACGTCAAGTTGTAGTAATATTTTATTTTATTTTCTCTGTGTATTTAGATAAATTTCAAACCACTCGGCAAATAAAATAAAATATTATTATTATTATTATTATTATTATTATCATTACGATAACAAAAACAAAAAAATAATCGATTTATTCACACGTAAGAAAAAAAAATTTATTAAATACGTGACATAGAGATAGAAAAAATAAAATAAAATTTTTTAAACGTGGCACCAGAAAGATTCCCGCGATAAAAAATATTTTTTAATCCTCTATGACGACGATGATGACGACAACAACCACCCCTTCCCCACCCTCCCCCCCGTCGTGGTAACAACAATTAATTTTAAAATTAAATTATCCGGAATATTTACAACAACAACAACAACGAAATTAAAAAAACTTTTTTTTTTGTTTTAATTTTCTCATTCGAATAGTCTTACTACCGTCGTGATAATAATAATAATAATAATAATAATAACGTTCGTCCCGACAGAATGATAATAATGATAATAAAATAAAAATATTATAATAAACAGAGTAGAAAGAAAGAAAGAAAGAAAATTAATTAAATTTTTTTTTTTTTAAAAGAATGGTTTATAATGATTGGCACGACGCCATTTTTATTTTATCCTTTCTCGTCTTTAACAAATTATTTTTGTTTGTTTCGATTATACTCCCGCGATTCCGTTTCCCCTTTTCTTTTTACTTCCCTCCCTTTCTCGCCATATTTTTTACCCTCCCCCTTTTTTGAAATTAACGTTTTTTTATCCTTTTCAGTAAAAAATAATAATTTTCGAGAAATTTCGACAAAAAAAAAACAAACGAACAAACAAACGAACGAACGCATAAAAAAATATTACGCGAGTCAAAAAATAGATTAATTAATAAATAAACCGGTTTAATTATTATATCCGAAATAATAATAATAATAATAATAATCGCAATAATAAGGAATTATATCTATAATTTCGATTCGATTCGTTATTGAATTGAAGTAATTTATAGTTAATGTATTTTTTCTAATTATGACGTCATCGCGTAAAAAAAAAAACAATATTAAATTTAAATTAATTGGAAAAAGGAGGGAAAAAATTTCCCTCCTCTCATCAAGGCGACAAATTTCTCTTTTTTTCCCTCCTCTCTTTTTTAAAAAACGTAAACAAATTATTTTATTTATTATTTGTTAGTACATGTTTCGTCGAATAAGAAAAAATTATTAATTAATAAATATTAATTAATTAATTATTAAACTAACATAAATAAATAAAAAAGATGATTCTTATTATTATTTTTTTGACGTTTTCTATATCCGATTTAATTTTTAATTTGTTTAAAAAAAAAAAATTATTATTATTATTATTATTTTTAATTTTTTTTTTTTGAGTTTTTGAATTATTTAAATTAAAAAAAAAAAAAATAATAATAATAATTTAATTTCGTACCTGAAATGACTGTTTTTTTGTTTTTGTTTTTTTAATTAAATAATTAAATTATTATTATTATTATTAAGTTTCGTTCGTTATGAGGAAAAACAAAACAATTTTTTTTCCTTTTTTTTTTTTGATTTGGATTTCGTAACGAGTTAGAAAAAGATAGAAGATGTAATGGTGGTATTGGGGGGGGGGTGGGGATGATAATAATAATTCTTACTTACCTTTCTTTTAGATTTAACAGAATCTATTTGTCTTTGTGTTAATTCTCCGATTGATCTGCTACCCCATAATTCGATTCCCATTAATGTGTAACAAACGGCCATGACGATCATCGGCATAAGGTACGTGACTCCGAGGAAAATTAAATTGTACCTGTAAGAAAAAAAAACAAACAATTATTATTATTATTATTATTATCATTACGTAAAGTTTGTTTGTCGAAAATTAAATTTTTAATAAAACGCTTTCAAAATATTTACCATACGGTAATTTCCTATCGTTTCATCGTAAATTTTTCTTTTTTTCGGAATGGGAGGGGAGGGGGAAGGAGGGGAGTAAAGGGGGAAAAGGTAGAAACATTTTAATGGTTTTATTATTATTATTAAATAATTTTACCGAACGTATCAAAATATTTTTTTAAAATTATTACAATTGATCGATTCGAAAAATAAATAGAATGATTATAAAAAAAAAGGGGGGGGGAGAAATGGGGCGGGGGGCGTTAAGGAAAACGGATAAATTATTATTATTATTTTTTTTTTTTTCATCGTCGAACGTTATAAAAAAAAAAAAAAAATTTCATCCGTCCGGACCCTGAACGGATTTAATTTTTCGAGTTTTTTAATAATAACTCTGAAGTTGACAGCGCCACGTTTTTTTTCTTTCTCCTTCCTGACACGTCAAAATCCTTTCTATTTACACTTTGAAAACTTTTAAATAAAAAAAATTTTTTTTTTTTTTATAAAAGGCGACGAAACGAATGATTCGTTTATGCGTAGGATTCTCTTTGAACATCGAATATATTCTACCATACCTTTATCTTAAATTAATTACGATTAGATTATTAATTGATTTTAAATCGATAAATCCGATTATTAATCCACGATTAAATCCTTTGAATAAATCCGCCAATAATCGAAACACTTAAATAATCATTTTAATCCGATTATATCCGATTTGTTAATCTTTTTCGATGTTGATTTTTTTTGATGACTCCGTTAAATGTGTTTTTTTTCGAAAAAAATACAATGATCGTTTGATACAAAACCGGAAGTTATCAATGATTCATTGATGTTTTTGTCGTCTGCTCTTGAGCGCGTTCAGAACGTCTTATCTTACTCCTCGATTATTTCGATGTAGGATTGATTCAAAACGGATTTTAAACCTTTTTTCTCCAAACATATCATTTCCTGTTTCATTCTTTCCATTTTTATCCCCACTTTCTTTTCGGTCGAAAATAATAATAATAATAATGTATTTCTTTTCATCCTGTTTTCTTCCTTTGAATCCTTCCACGCCCCCAACCAAAACCGCCCTTTTAAACAAATTTAAATTTTATATCCGAATTTATTTTTATCCGAAGTTTTTTTTTTTTAAGAAGTCCGGGGGTAATAAACTAAAACAATTTCACTAACAAACAAACACCGGGATATTATAAGGATTAATTTGGGGGACCCCGTCTGGCTGGCTTCCATTAATCCGATCATTTATCCTCTTCCAATTTAAAAAAAAAAAACACACACACGGAAAAATTTCACGATTATAAATAATTTTTTCCTTTCTCCACCTCCTTTCCGCACTCTCCCCCTCTCCCCCCACTTCTCCTCTCTCCTAACCCCTTCTGCTTCCCCTTCCCCCCCGTCACTCTCCCTTCTAATTACCTGATTAACAAAAAAAAACATTAATTTAAAAACTTTTTTAATTTCTTTATACTACTCTCATTATTTAAAATTAAAAACGAAAATTTTTAATTTTTTTTTTTTTGTTTTTACACGAAACAAAAAAAAAAAAAAAATTATCAACAGTCAAAACAACTGTAATATAAAATTAAACCGACAAAAACCAACAAAGTTGCGGGGGGGGCAGAAGGGGGTAGGGGAGAATGGGAGGGGTAAAAAAAAAAGACAAAACGAATTTTTTTTTTTTTTTCCATTCGTCCGCCATTAGAAAACCTTTTGAGACGTTCGTGACTTTAGAATGAAAATGCCAACAGGGAAAATTCGACATTAGTCGTGGATTTTTCCTCTTCCCCCTCCCTCCCTCATTTTAAATCTTTTTAAACATTTATGCAGTAATAATAATAATATTTTTTTAAGGGTTGTTTTTTCCCGCGCTTTTACGAATAATAAATAAATTATTTATTTATTTAAACTTATTAATGAAGGACGTTAAAAACTCAAAGTGCGTAATAAATAAATAAATTAAAAAATTTTTAAACATGTTTTTCCCCCAACCCCCCTCCCCCCGTGACAGTTTTTAATGAACAAACAAACAAACAAACAAGCAAAATAAAAATAAATAAAAATTAAAAAAAACACCCGTCATTAAAAATGGATTAACTTTGTTTTTTTTTTTTTTTTTTTTTTTTCTTATTCTTTTACGCGTAAAGAGGCATTTTCTAATTACACGAACGAACGTGTTATTAGAGTTTAAAATTTTTTCTTTTTTTTTTTTACGATGTTTTTATACGTTAAAAAAAAGATTAAACTATTTAAATCGTTTTTTTTGTTTTTTGCTGCTTTGTTAAGTAGCAAAAACGGACAAAGCGGAGATTTTGAAAATAAAAATGGCGGACGAAGGAATGGAAAAAAAAAATTCCCGTTAATACGTTTTGTTGTCGTGGATATACAAAATTAAACAAACAATTCATGTTGAATGCGTTTTAGATATGATCCAATTTATTTTTTTTTGTATTCGGAAACGGAAAAGAGTAAACGTCATTTCAAAAAACAAAATTACTTTTCCATTGTTTTTTTTTTTTAAATTTCCCTCCTTTTTTTTTGTACCACGCCCTCCTACTTCTACCTCCTTCCACTTTTTTTTGTTATTTTAATATTTTATTTACGTTCGGTTAATTTTTTTCCGTTTATATTATTTTAAATATATATATATATAAATAAAAATAATATACTTGTTAAAACGAACCACCCCGCCCCCCTTAACCCTTTATTACTACTGCCACGTTCATTTCCATAGAGTAAGAATTAATTAAAACGCGCCATACGCGAAAAGGGATCGTGACGGGGGAGTGAATAATTGAATAGAATTATTAATTACATGTTTAACTTACAGGTAGTCAGTCTTTGAAGTTGGATAAGCTCCATCCGGCCACAACATGTAGCAAATGATTCGTGTTTGACCATCGGCATATCTGAAAGTAAAGAAAACGAATTAGAAAAAATAAATTTTCCCGTTTTTTTTTCCGAGTTTTTCCGACAAAAAAAAAATGGAGAATTTTTTTTTTTATTTTTTTAAACCTTTTCGTCATGGTGGTTGAATAAACAAGAGGCGGAATCCCAAGCAATCCGCTGGCTAACCATATAACAACCAAAGCGATTCTTGCTTTCCTATGGGACATCCTATGTTGCAAAGGTCTCACGATAGCCATGTATCTAAAAAAAAAAAAAAAAAAAAAATTTCCTTTGA